TTCAGCGGAAAGTGAGCCGGCTGAGGGGCATGCCACTGCGGAAGGGTCACCAGCAAGGGATGATGGTGAGGTCCACTAATGCCAAAGTTCCTCTCGAATTGAGTGTTCGTGAGCGGCTTCATGCGTCGGTATTGAACTTGCGGTTGTCGAATCAGAATGTAGTCAATGCGAGAGGCATGAGTACCATGAGAAAATGTGTTTTGATAACCCCCTTTCCAGTTAACGGCAATCAGGTCCTGAGATCTCAGAATTTGCTGCAAGACATGGCTGTCCTTGTGCACATTGGGTAGTCTTCTGGGGTCTTCCGATCCAACAAAAGGTGGATCAGCACGAAGAACTGTATTGAAGTCTCCAAGAACAATTAAGTAATGGGCCTTGGGAATATGATTCAAACAGTTTTGAAGTGCTTGCACAACTGTTGTCGTTTTTGAAGGAGGGGTTGAGAGCCATGACATGGATTCCAAACATGTTGATAAACAATGAGAAAATCAATCGTGCGCTTAAGAAATATCCTCACATGCATGAGGCGTCCTTCAATTAAGGTGGCCGTGGCCAATCGATCTGCTGGAGCGAGGTGGACACGTACCATCAACAAGACGGAGGTCTGTTTGCAAGCCGAATGTGTGCAGTTCCATTCGGAAGTGCTCCATGTAGCCGAGAAGCGCCATCCCGTCTCTTGTATGGCCAACACTTCAAACGATTGAGTGGAAGCCCAAATCAGTAGCTCATCGTAGCGCAATGCTTTCGAGGCATTCTAGGTCATGCAGCGGATGCCAGTTGCAATGGAGACTGGCGTCAATGCCTTCCGAGCAGCCGGCAGTTGTCTGAAAGACTCACGGAACCTCCATGGGACATCTGTGGGGAGGAGCATCTTCCCTCGGTACTCAGCCATACCATGGCGTAAGGCCCTATAGCATGCTCTACGGTATGCGCGCGTAATGCGCAGAATGCGCGGCCGAGCAGAGATGAGGCCGTAGCCACCAAAAGCCCATACCTCATGTAGCTTCGTAGAAGGAGAAGGTGTGTCCACCGGATGACCTCCACTCTCGCTTAGAGCAGAGGAACTCTGAGCAACCCTCACGCCGGATATGGAAGCAGGTTAAAAAGGGGTAGCATCAGCTCGCATATCCCCCGGACTTGGGATCGGGAAATCCAGTTCGGTCTTCAGTAGAAAAATGGCGGCAGCCAGAATGAAAGGAGGCCAATGCACCATTACAAAAACAGGGTCGCAAAACTCATGGCACTTCGCCCCAAAGCGGCCGTGGCTCTTAAACTGGAAATGGCGCTTTCATTTCCTATAAATCGGATATCAAAATCTTTTTAAATGCTCCACTGTAGCCATTCATAATAATATAGATTATTACCACCATTCGAATTAAAAATCTAAAATACGAATTCCGGTATATAATATATAATATCGGATTTCCTAGTAATCGATACAATTGTAGAATTAAATATATTTTGTATTTTATAAGAAATTTATTAATCCATAAAAATCTAGCCATAATATATATATATCCTTCATATCCGACGATATATTCGATACAAAATTCCTTTAATTCTATTATATCTAAATGAAAATCCAATATAATTTAAACCAAATCTTATCTATATTTCACTTAATTTCCTATCGTGGTATATAATCTAATTACTCTATCTATATAATTACACCCTTAATTATTAAATACAAAAGACAAATAAAAATAGTAATACAAACATCATGCATTAAAAACACACCGCAACAACGCGGCACGACAACAAGACTAACCTCCAAACCGCTCCGAATCATATATCCAAGCACCCAAAGGCACACAACAACAACACCATACACCCAATCTCGGCAACGGCCACATGTCTAGCAGCGAGACCCTGCAACAAGAATAATACAATATAAAAATTCCAAATTTCGAGAGAAAACATCACGCATTTTATCTTCGATCAACTCACAACAAACCTTTATTTAGGTTATCGTAATCCGTCCTATACTCTCTTTCGTAAATATTTTCTAATTAAAATATTTTGCATCCATCGAAAACAATAAGAAAAATACGGAATTTTTCGAACCACAATATCACCAATCGCCTAATAATACGTAATTCGATTTTTTTTCCTAAATTTAATTGTATTTAAAACATTTTAAAACCATAAAAATTCCATATATCCAAGAATCCAAATTCCAAAAGAATTTCGCGAAAAAAAACAAATTACATGTTAAGCCTTCGGCCTTTTAATATACCTTCGTATCCAAGCCCGTTACACAATTTTTACGATCACGTAAGGGGCTTTGTGTTATGTATAATATAATCATATATATTAATAATAACAATTTTAAAGAATCTTTATATTGCAATAGTGAAGAAATAGAAGAGTGTTTCGAATCTTATATCATCTTATATCGATTTCCAATCAAAGAAGTTGTAATTCTTCGTTTTCCCCCAAAATAGCAAGTTAGCACGTGATGGAACACATGCCAAGGTCTAGCCATTTGTAGGCCGCGCTCCCTCCGTTTCGGTCAGGAGCTGGGCTGCCAGCACACCCAACAATAGCAACTTGGCACCAAAGGTCCAAAGAAAGGAGCTTTTGTCCTATTGTATTGTTTGTGGCAACAAATGGCCTTCAAGTTTGTGTCAGCTCAAAAGCAGATGAGTTGATCCTATGAATCATTCATCTCGGCACCAGTTGTCATTGCATGTGTACTGGCCAAAAGGAAGAAAATGTTGTCCTTGAACGTAGGTCCAAGCACCTTCCCATTAATTTACAAGCAGGATCACAATCTCTCCAAGATTTACTGCCCCAAAACCTCTCAACCTAAAGATTTCTGCAAGGGCTTGGGCTCCCACCCTTTTGGCCCTTGCATCCTGTGCATTATCTGCTCAATTGAGCCTTTCCACGATTTCCGCATGCTCCTGCCAAGAGCACACATCCCAGAATTCTTTGCCACTGCTTTCCCGGAGCCACTTCTTGTGCATCGCGGCACAGGCCATGATCGCCGTCTTGATATCGGTGATCAGTGGAACGCCGGCCTCGATCGCCCCTCGGCGCATCTTGAAGCCATCCGTCATGCCGTTGGAATCCATGGAGTCTGGGACGTTGATCACGAGATCCATCTTCCCAGCTTGGAGCAAGGTCAACACGTTGGGTTCCTCAGAGCTATCCACAGACATGTGCCTCCAAAACATACCTTCAAACCGTTGGAAAGGTCCAAAAGTGAACAGCTTCTTTAGAAGTAACCGTTTCCTCAAACAGATCATGCGAAGGTTTCTTCAAGGAACCTCGAGCGGGGGGGAGCTTCCTTGAAGAAGCCTCCCCTTGCTAGAAACTTTAGTAGCTAGTTACTCCCTCATTAATTATATAAGTAGGCTCCTACTAGCGATGGCCTCCAACCTAGTAGCGATGGCCTCCAACCTAGTAGCGATGGCCTTCACCCTAGTAGCGATGGCCTAGTAGCTATCAATCACTTACTAAACTAGTTTACTACTTCTACCTCTAGACATAATCTTTACGGCCTACCCCAAAAAGCAAACGGAAAAATAGAGTGAAGTAAGGAAAGCACAAGACAAGTATTAGAAAGAAAGATTGATGAGAAGTTCCATCCACTTCTTTTCGGCCTAGTGGCCCTCTTAATCAAAGGCTTGTAGACCAGGCTGCAAGCAAAGCCTTGCTTGGACAGAACATCATGCGTGCTTTTGGTGGCGAAAAGGCTAAAGCCCATGTCCTGCAAGAGAAAACGGTCAAAGAACCAAAGCTGGCCACGATGGGAGTTCAGGCCTAAACCTCGAGCTGTTCGGTCCAACTTCTAACCTACAAGTCTTTTTTTTCGGTCGATCCGTAGATCCATCGTGTAAATCTCCTGAAGCTGCTTTGCCGCACCACTGCTCAGGAACTCTTGCTTGGCACCGTTGGGACCAATAGAGATCACGATGTTCTTCAGTGGAAGCTTGAAGTTCGCAGCCACCATGCCTCGGTGGATTTTGTCGGAAACCCGCCAGGCTTCTTTGAACTGCAAGCGTTCCTTCTGTTAGAAACCGAAGAACAGTACACACAGTGCACACACAAAGAAAAACAAAGAAACATACACATTACAGTACAGTACAGTACATTGCATTATACATACGTAATGACTAGCACCGAACGAACATCCGTCCGATCGTCTTCAGCAGTTCCATGGTACCTTTCAGGAAGGCTTCATGGGCGTTCACACCAAAGCATGCCACTTCACCAGTGGAGGACATCTCCACGCCCAGGCGTGGGTCGGAGTTCTTCAGGCGTCCAAAGGAGAACATCGGACACTTGCAAGCAACCTAAGGTGTTGAAAGAGTGGATCAAGAAACGTCATTCGTCTAGTCTAAAGGCAAGAAACACACGCATTGAAGTTGGTTCGGATTGCACAAAATTGAAAACCACCAAAACAAACGGGGATTACTTGCAAGTGACGAAGTCTATGTCCATTGGCTGGATGATGGCCGAACGAACCGGCAAACCCGTCATGATGCGAGTGGCCAGCTCAATGAAGTTCCTAGCGTGGCACGTGTTGCTCAACGAGGCTTATGGGGAAGTGAGGAGGTGCTTTCTAGTAGCTTCTTGTTCCTAGTAGCAATGCCAGGAGCCCCTAGTGGCATCCTTGCTCCTAGTAGTAAGGCCAGGAGCCCCTAGCAGCGTCCTTGCTCCCAGTAGCGATGCCCTTTGCCAGTTGGCAAGCTGGTTGGCAAGCCAATAGCCATCCTCTCTGTTGTTTTGGCGGCGTGCCCCAACAAGCTGCCAGTTTTGCGGGTAACGTAGGGGAGATTGAAACCACTTGATCTGCATCAAGAACAGACCTTCATGATCCTCAAGTAGTGCCTGGAGGCCATCGCTACTAGGGTGGAGGCCATCGCTATTAGGGCCATTGATGAGACCCAAACAAGAAAAACACAAAATGGAGCCCACGAACCCGAATGCAAACACGTTCAAAAAGCTACATATGTCCAAATGACACTCTTGTGGGTCGCTCTTGTAGGAAACTCTTGTGGGACACTCTTACGGGACACTCTTGTGGGACAGTCTTGTGGGACACTCTTGTGGGTCACTCTTGTAGGATTCTCTTGTGGGACACTCTTGTAGGACATTCTTCCAAGACACTCTTGTAGGACACTCTTGTGGGAACTCTTGTAGGACACTCTTGTG